ATCAATCAATCTATCTATCTATCTATCTATCTATCTATCTATCTATCTATCTATCTATCTATCTATCTATCTATCTATCTATCTATCTATTCAATATTTTTGGCGACCAGATGCTAGCCTGGACTCATATAGATTAAATAATATCTAAAACCAGTGTTCAAACAAAAACATTTTAAAAAGCTGTCATTAAAGAAGAACTACCTTGTTGATGTGGATTTGTTTTACACTGTAACAGCAACAGCTGACTGGAGACCACCCCCCTTTTTACCAATTTAAGTCACAGCTCTCATGTCACTCAAGCCCAGTTGGATCTCCGTGATCCTGGTGACTCACTGGTTTTTAATAGAAAATACTTCAGCTCGTCCTGTCAAACTCACTGATGTCAGGGTGCAGTTAAAACATAAGAACCATGAGAAGACGTCCTCTCTGCACCGGTGTAAACAAGTGTCTCCTTCGTACACCAGAAAAGACACCAGAAAATGTTTTATTCAGAGTGTGGTTTTAATTTCGGCAGGTTCCATTCAGTTTCCAGGTGACACTTTATTACAGCGATGTTCACACTGACACAAGGCATATTGTGACAGCATGAAAAGCATGCATCTGCAATATATACCCTTCACTTAGAGAAAACACATAATTCACGGATCAAAGAGATTTTATTTATTCACAAAGACAGCGCACGTCAACCGACGGATTCCTGAAACAAAGACTTAATTTACATGAACTTAAATATTTAATGTTATGACACTCAATGAGGAAATATTCCAATTTTAATTTGGAGACCAAAGAGAGATTATGATATAATCCCACTTAACAGTGGGTTTTGTGCTTGCGTCCCACTTTTTTTCAAATCACCTTGTTACTGGAAAAATAAAAAAAAAATTGAATGTGAGAGCTTGTGGACAGACTTGGCTAGACAACAGTTTACACTGTTTAATAATGTCCTATGTCTCTGGCTAATTCTTGAAATAAAATCAATTAATTGAAAAATTTAAGATGGGGAATACAGTCACCAATGGAATTGTTTTTGTGTCATTATCTGCACAAAGTTTACTGACATCTGATAAAAGGAGCTCTGGACACAAAGCACTGAATGTTCAATCACTATGCAGATGACACTAAAATATTACCGTTCCTATTCCTGATCTTCTTATAGCAGATATTGTATAATTTCAGGTATTCAGACACATGTAAACATGACATAAATATATTTACACAAAATCTGAATGTTATTAAATAAGGGCAATAGTCAGCAAATTAAAAAAATGGGCATAATGTACAAAAAATACACTTTAAAAATAAATGTCAGAATAATCTGATTAAGATTTCTACATACAATTATAAATGTAATTTATTTAACCTCTTAAAATATATATATTTTTCTCAAATCATCAACCTGAACCTGAGGCTGATTTTATTTATTTTTTAATTAGGAAAACCACAGGGGGAGCAGAAAGTGCTTGGTGCTACGGAATTAGACAAAAGATCAATATAGTTAACCAATGTGATCTACTTTGTAGCCACATTGCTAACTTTTATAATGACTGGTGACACAAGTTTGTCTCATTTAAGTCAAAACCAGCGCATTGCCGTACATGTAAGTGTAGTAGTCGTCTCACGTTTACACTCCACTCATTAACCCACAATAACAATAACCTTCAAACTTCACATTATGTATGAATAATCATTCCATTGAATTTTTTTGTTGCACATGGATATTTACAACACTTTAATAAACACAAGTCCCATTTTGTTAAAGCGACATGCATGTGCACACTGATTATCAACATCCACTGTCAGTGAGTCAACACAAATCATCTTTAGTTTTTGCCTTTTGGAGGGTTTTGTGCCAACAGTGCTCCTCTACCTGTATCATGTTCCCCTCGTTCGTCCAATTTAGCTGACATTTCGGGAAACAAGATGAAGAAATATTGAGTGCATAGAGAGCAGTCAGTCAGGCCTGGAGATACAGACAGGATGATGAATTTGAAAAGATTGAGAAAGATGACGGGTATAATTATTCAGAGAGGAAACGTCTGGAACTCATTTTTATCCTTCTGGAGTTTAACAGTAAAAATGAGTTGGGTTTTTTTTTTGTTTTTTTTTGGTAAATTTGAAAAGGTTATCCTTCTGTTGTTTTTGTGTGCTACAAGTAATGAAAAAAAAAGTTTATTAAAAAAAAAAACACATCCTGCTGAGCAATTCAAGATGAACATATTGGTTTCCAAAGCAGAGGGTGTGGAGCAATTGGAATGGGGGTGAGTCAAATTAATCTCCACTTTTAAATTACTGTGCTTAAAATAAAATAAAATGGAGATTTGAAGCAATAGCTGTAATCTGTGTCAAGGGAAGTTGATAACAGACCTATGTACAATAGGGGGCACTAGTTTTAGAAACCCTGGATTAACATAATGTAACATTACTGAACGTGTTTATTTTTCAGTGCTCTATTCATCCTGTGAATAAAAATACTGTTTGGACGTCATGAGAGGAATTGTGGAGAAATGACTTTGTTGTTTTCATTGTTAACGACTTAATAAAAACGCCTGAGATTGTTTTGACTCTTTACTGACCTTCAAACATTTGTCAAGTAGTAATATAATTAGTTATTATTATTATTATCAATCATATGTCAGGAGGCTTTCTTGTGGTACTGATTTCCTTATCTAACCATTATCAAGAAAAACACACACTACAACCAAGTCACAATACATTTCAACAATATTTCAACAGTGTTGTATAGAAAACATGGCACTAATGAAAAACATCAATAAATATTAAATAAATACCACACATCGTATGATCGTCTATGATCGAAATGTCTATCCTTCCAGAGATGAGTTTAAATGTCAGCTGAGATTCCAAGTCTATTTGAGCTTCATCATCAAACCCGTAAAATATGGCTAATGAAGCGTAAAGATGAGTTAAATGTCTGTTGGAAAGGAGATAATGCACAATCCCTGTGACAACATTAACATCAACATTATTTAAATTATTTTACCTGTATTTTCTAGTTCAAGCAATTGTATGACTTTAAATGTGTCCAAGTGAACAATAGAAACTGAAGATGGCAGCAATGCAACACTTATGACAGTTGCCTTTCATTGTCGTAGGGTAAGTTAAATTATGTGGGATCACAGTCGGGGGTGTACAGCTGCTCTTGAAAGCTTCGTATTTGAATTAAATTCTGTAACATATTATTTCAGCACAGAGAAAAAACAAGTACCGGTAGTATTTTAATCACATTCACAGTGCCCCCTGCAGGGCTGTGGAGGGAGATGCATGTTTTGTGTTTTGTGTTTTTATGTGCTTGCCCTACTGGTCTAAGAAGATACTCTCCAGAGTCCACCAAATATTTCCTCACATCGTCACAGTTTGTCATCAGCTGCCAATAAAAACAGGGAGGTCTTATGATCTGTTAGAAAAACACATTGAAGAAAAATGTTTTACAGGTTTTTCCCAGTGATTTAATACTGATTTCTCAATGGGTTTTTGCTCGATCAAAAGACAAATTAATTTGACATTTGGCCTGACAGGCCGTATGTTCATTGCCAGGCCTCCTTTCATTCCATTTTTCAAAGAAAACCTATCTATTCTTCATCCTGTGGCGTGCAGAGATAACAGCACTTAACTTTTCCATTGTTGGTCATAACAATTGTCAAGTTAAATGTCTGTAACTGGTGCATATGGTCAAAATGTGTGTGTGTTTTGCTGTTAAATATTTTTAAACCCAAAGACTAAACCTATTATTTTAAACAATTTACTAAATATAGGGTTGTTTGAGTCATTACCACCCAATGACAATCAGGTTTTCTACCCATACAGGAGCTATTGTGAGGGGCCTTTATGGGGCCTGTAAAAAGAAAACCCAAACATTGTGCTACATCAGGGGTTTGCGACCTGTGGCTCAGGGACTTTATCCTTCTTGTACTGGCTCCATGTTATGGACAAAACTGAACCTTACTGTCTGGTACATCAGACCAGTATTATAAGTACACAGCAGATAGAGAAGGGCATGAGGTTTTAAACAAAAATCTAGTTTGAAACAATTATCGACTTGTTTGCTAACAGCAAAACAACACAATTGAACTGTCCTTAACTCAAGACCAGATGCAAAATTTTTAGGAAAAGCAGTAAAATGTTGACTTCAGGTTAGGTGAATACTGTAATGTTGGAATTGATCATAGCCTGACGTAGGAATTTGTTACAGCACAACTGACTTAAAAAAAATAAATTCTCAATTAGATTTTTTTTAGTTTTCATTGTTTTCCAAAGATGGATCGCAACCCTCAAGTGGGTCGCAACAGATTTTGTTTGGGGTTGTCTCGCATAATTTTTCCCAGTTTACAAATACTGTCTATTGACTTGAGTAGTACTAGTACCTCATTTTCTTGCGTTTCTTCACTAAGCCACAGCTTTGACTGCGGGGCCCAAAAATGGAGTAGAACGATGAACTGCGACTGTAACTCCTGTAGGAGGAGTAACCGGGGCTCCTGCTCCTGCTCCTGCTCCTGCTCCTGCTCCTGCTTCGGCTTGTGCTGTAGATTGTTCTGCGACTCCTGCTGCGCGTGAAGAGGCTGCTCCAGGATGATACACTGGTGGACCGACTGCTAGTGCAGGGACTAGGTCGGAAGTAAGGAATGGGTCGCTTCCTGGCACTGTGAAGAAACAAAGGGTACGGTAAGAAATTCAGATGTATCACATGGTCGGCACTAGCAGTTGTTGGGAATCTAAATGTTACAATCCATGTAATATATTTAATAGTGATTCAAACATTTGTTTGTGCCTTTTTAATTGTTCTAAATGCACCTTGATGTTTTGATACGTCAAAACCAGAAAGAAATATTGTCCACAATATTCTCTAGATTAATAATAAGTTCAATGTGAGTGTATTGAAGATACTGTAAAAAAGTACATCAACTATTAACACACACAACAAAGAGGCAGGTGACCGAAACCGTTCTGATGGGGACCACAACGACCCGTCAGACTCTTAACGATACAGTTGACCCCAAAGCCCCACCTACAGGGTGGAGCTTATTATTCTTTCTCACCTAGAGTATTTATCTGCTGTACTCCCCACCACCAGTTAGAACTGAAGAAGCCTCCTGGATTAGAGGTGAAACGTCTTCTTTTAGAAAATTCACATCCAGTTGTGTAAAAGCTGTGCTCACTTTCTGTTCCGCTCTCTCTCTTTCCTACTTGGTGTCTTCATTGTGGTGTGGACAGAACTCACACACTTCATCCTGTTACCTACAGAGATTTACCAGCTATATAACAATGCCTTCCCCTTCATTAAACATTATTGAAACCCAACCTGAGGAAGTATCGGCAAGTATCGCATTTACAAAAATGTCTATACTCTGCAGTTTATGAAAAACTTCACAAACATAGGGTGTAGGGCTTTAAAATGTCTACTTATTATTGTTGCTTAAGCTCCTCAAATGGTACCGTTTGTGCAAATAATAATGGTACAGATGATGATTTTCTACCTGCGATCCAGCCACTCTCTCAACTAAGCTACACCTTTAGCATGGCGCTAAATATATATATATGCAACACAACGTTATTTCCCTACCCAATTGTCAGTCTAATTTACTCTTGTCACTTCTGACACTATGATAATTACTGTTAATTTTTCTTTCTTTTGCATCTGTGTCATCTGTGCTTTATAACATAAATGGCAGCTATAAATAAGCCAGCTCAGGAAGCTGTACCTTGTGATGCGTCGAGCTTCCAGATGACTGGGTGAGTCCCTTCTCCTTTTCTTTATAGGAGAGAATGATCTGCTTTTTCGTTGCTTCCTGCTGNNNNCTTCACATCTGTCTTCCTGTATGTCGACGTTCTCTTTCTGTCGCGTAGTCTGCAGGGAAGTCGAGTGATCACCAACAATGTAAACAAGCGCACTTACTTGTGACATTAACAGCTGGACTGGTTTGTTAAAGTTCACCTGGTAGAACTGTGTCTGGAATAACTGTCTCTGTAGCTCTGGCTGCCCACGCTGCCCCGCCGCCTCACGTGGGAGGAGTAACTGGGAGAGCGGGAATATGAACTGGGAACAGTTCAACAAAACAACAATTCATTACATTTAAGTAAATGTAACATATTAGGCTTAGCTAGCTACATAATGCTAATCGCTAACCAGGTCGAGAGTTTCTTCAATTGGCTCAGAATTGCCCAACTCCCTATATATATACGTATATATA